TCAGCTAGGTAAAAAAAGCTAAATTGTTTGACCAATATAAATAACAAATAAGAAGAAATGGTAATTATATACATTTTTAAACTTTATGAGTAAATAAGAGAAATGCTAATTACAACAAAACCCATAACTCATAGGGGACAATATAATTAAATGCATAATAATAAAATTAAATAAGAAAAATGATAACTGCTTTAGGCGGGAATTCAAAACTAATTAAATGCTGAAATTTTTTGGCGGGATAATATAATTAAATGCAGGATAATAAAATTAAATGATGTGTTGCTCTAAATTATATATATATAGATATTGGACCTTTTTAACTTATATGTACAGGATCGGTTTTCGGTTCGGTTCGGTTAACCAAAAGATTATATTCAAACCGAACCGAAAACCGAATCAAATTTTCGATTTCGGTTTTGGTCGAAACCGAATGTTCGATTTCGGTCGGTTAACCAAAATTTGTGCACCCCTACTCGAATCCATGACCTATAAGTCGTGACTCGAATCCATGACCTATAAGTCATGTAACCGTTAAGTAGTGCGTACTGTGCCTTTAAGAATGTCAGAATTTGCTATGCATAATTTTCTCTCCTATTATCTTCGGCCCTATCCTCTCTCATTCCAATATTCCATACTCCTATCTCCATATCTGTTCCTCATAATCTTTCCACTATTCTCTCTCATTCCATACTCCTATCTCCATATCTGTTCCTCATAATCTTTTCAGAATTCATCAAACATCAACGTTCACTCAATGCATAGCTACACAATTTCACATATCAACATCACATAGAATTTACAATCTGATCACAACCTTAATCAAAAAAGAATTTTACAATTTCCAGCCCGGATCATTACACTTCTCTGGCGAATTGTTAATTGTGGTATTCGTTCTTGAACTACTTGATAATTGTTGTGAGATTAAAAGGCTAGTTGATCATTTCTCCGAAAGAGAAACGAATAAAGAATAATGCATATATGTTGAAGATACGCTAAAATTTGAACGGCTGAAAAATAAGTCAACAGGCGCGCAGANGAATTAAAAAAATACAAATAAATTTCTTTGCACCAAACTAATCGAACCAAACCGCACCGAAATGCACGATTTGGCTCGATATCAAATTTTATCTCGATTTTTTTAATCATATTATTAAATCTATTGAGGTTTGGTGCAAAACTGCATTGAACCGAACAAAATTAAAAACAAAAGTTATGAAGAAGTATAACCGCACCACACCATCACATCGGTGTAGGAAAAATCAAGTTGAATATTTTTCTAAAATAAAAAACTAACTAAACCCCACCAAATGGCACAATTTGATTCTATTTTTCGTTTTCGTCTTAATTTTGCTCACCTCTATCCATGCCACATGAATTTGTGTTGATTAAAAAGTTTCGAAGAAAGCTCAATCCTGCATGTGAAGGCGTTGTCCTTACTAAGTTTCTTATTATCCGATTATATGTGTTGATAAAACGGTAAAAATAAATTATTTTTTATCATTACATCACACACATTGACTCGGTGAGTCGTGCCCCACATATTTTTCACAATTTATTTGTACATACGTGTACACACCAACATGGATGTGTGTGAAATCAATAGTAAAAAAACATTGGAGTGGAGACAATGACCCTACTTATATGTTCGACTTTCCAATCATATAATTTTATAATCAATAAGTGTGTGTTAATCAAATCTATAGTAATCCAAATAGGTTGTTACTTTTATAGTAAGTTTGACTAAAAAAATAAATGGTTTGACTTACTATTAGTGGAAATTTCGGAAAAAACACATGCACAAAAAAAATTGAGATTTTTATGGTAACAAATTTAATTGAGGTATCCCAAAAAAATTGGAGATTTTTATGGTAACAAATTTGGAGATTACTATACCAAAATTTAATTCATTTTAAAGATTAATCTATAAGAATCTACTTTTATTGGTAACAAATTTGAAGATAGTTATGCCAAAAAATTGAGATTTTGAATTGAGATATTCTAACAATTACGGATTTTTTTCCCATTCAAATTAATGTTGTAAATCAAACAAAAAATTATTCTAAAAATAATGGATGTTATACCACCTATTGATAAACTCCAATCCCATAGAAAATTTCTATGAGATTCTTATGGTAACAAATTAGAGATTCTTATGCCAAAAAATTGAGATTTTGAATTGAGATATCCTAACAATTTCGGATTTTTTCCCCTTCAAATTCATGTTGTAAATCAAGTAAAAAATTATTCCGAGAATAATGGATGCTATACTATATATTGATAAACTCCAATTCATAGGAGATTTTTACGGGTTTTTTATGGTAACAAATTGAAGATTCTTATGGTAATAAATTTGGAGATTCTTATATCAAAATTTAATTTATTTTAAATATTAATCCCATAGGGATCTATTTTTATTGGTAACAAATTTGAAGATTCTTATGCCAAAAAATTGAGATTTTGAATTGAGATATCTCAACAATTACGGATTTTTTTCCATTCAAATTAATGTTGTAAATCAAACAAAAAATTATTCTGAGATAATGGATGCTATACTAAATTAATATCACTGGGCCCACACGTTAATATGATATTAATTAGATAGATAAATTACGTAAATCTTTCCTAACAAAATGCGTTCCAATATTGTTAACCAATTTAATGAGATTTTGTTAACTAATTTGATAGGATTTTGGTAACCACGGATTTTGTTAGTTTTTCATGGAAACACGTATTTTCATTATTGATAAGGTTTGATAAGTTGTTCCCAAATTTTTTTGTTTTTTTTTTCCTCTCTCGAAAATTTGATAAGGTTTGATAAGATTTTGTTTCTTCTTTTTTTTCTCTCTCTCGAAAATTTGAGTTGTGGATTTGAAAATAAATAAATAAATAAAATAAACATATCATATTGATAAAGTTTTAGTTTGGGCATAAAAATCAAATTTGATTTGACTGAACTTTGTTTCATATAAATCTAAGAGAATCAGACGTTTGAAAAAATAAAATATTAATAGTAAATAATCATACCATATTTGTAAGGTTTGATTCGGAATATTGAGGCATAAAAATCAATTATGATTTGATCACATTTTGTTTTATAGAAGTTATCTTAGAAAATTTTACACGTTTCAAAAAATTAAAGATATATAATTTTGTAAATTAATGTTTTGGATTTTTCCAAATATATAGGAAAATATCAAAATAAAAATATTACTTTTCACTCTATCCAAAAAGTCTTACCAAATTTCATTGTAACAAACTCCATTATTTTTGGCTACATAATCTTCTAAATATTCGTTCGTCCCTCACAAGTGAATAAAGTTCCATATTTTTTTTATTTTTTAACAAAACCGATAACACATATTTTTAGAAGTCAATCATAATCATAAAAAAAAAAAAAATCGGATCGGATCATATTAAATACCTTACGTAAATATTTTTTTATTTCCCAGACATATGGCACATACACATGACTATATAAACATCACCAACGTTGAACAAAAAGTATTCGACATCCAATATATCCCACAAAATAATTTTTTCTACAAGCTTTTACATCACCATTGAAAATGGCTTCAGATTTTGGAGTAATTAAGGATATCAAAAGATCCAATAAGCCACCAATCAAGCTACGCATAATTAGGATGTTCCAACAAGTTGAAGACGTATGTTGAGGTAATATATTATTTTAGTATTATTTAAATGCATCATTTTATGCAACATCTTTTATAATTACTTATTGAATTGTTCATTATGCAATATTTTAGGGAGGACGAATTACTGGCATAATTCGACCTGTCAATATCCAAAAAATCATCAGTGATATTGAAGAAGGTGGCGCTTATATCTTGACAAACTATCAAGTGGAAAGCAATATTGGCATCCATAAATCGACGATAGGAAAAAGGAGGATCATTATCAATGGTCAAACCAAGATTATCAAATGGAGGGGTGATTTTCCTATTTCTAACTTTAATGGATGTTCGTAACATTGATGAAATCATGTTGTTTGGTACGTTATAATTTTTTTGTTTATTTCTTATTTTGTTTTTTTTTAATTTAAAATTTGCAATAAATTATTTTATATGTTATACATTTCAATATGATGCATTTTCTTATATTTTTGTAGATGTTATTGGATTGATTGTTTTCCATTATGTTTTCTTACGCCATTACTATAAATAAGAGCCAAGAACAATTATTATCGCATGAGGGCTTATTTCTTAAGAAACTAGTGTTTAGTCATGGCCAATTGTATGTTGATGTCTCCCATGTCATAAACATAAATGGGTTTGAAAGTCCTAATTTGAGGCGACGATGACGTGCCAAAGAATCAAACTATGAACATTGTATATAAGAAAGTGTTCAATAATATATAAATTTTATTATCATTGTATTTATTAATTTATTTATTATTAATGACATGATCTTTCTTTTAGTAAGTACTTTGAATTTTAACTGAACATTGATTATAAAAGGGACGGAGATAATAAACTCTCCTGCATCGCACGGGGAATGTATTAGTGATAAAAATACCATAAAAGTTTGTTTGCACGAATTTTCCCGCCATTATTAAGACTAATTGTCACCATCTTTCTAGTATTCGCTGTGCACCCCACCAGGATTCCCTTTTGCCGAGGTAGGCTAATCTTCAACTTCTTGTTCAGCTTTCCTTATTATCTGCAAAATTGGCCCCACCTGNACAAAAGTTTCCATGGATTATTGAATCCTTCATCCCAGCTTCAAATGGGGATTCAATCTGGCGGGCCGGCACCGGAATTAGGTTTTCCGATCATTGACGAATTAGGGTTTCAGCTTCTCCCAAACACGCCCTTACCCACCTCACTCTCTGCAATCGACCAAGATTGCGACTTCTCCAACGCCCCTTTGCTTAGATACATAAACGAGATGCTAATGGAGGAGGATATGGAAGACCAAACCCACATGCTCCAAGAATCCCTCGATTTTCAGGCCAAAGAGAAGTCCTTTTACGAGGCCATCGGCAAACGGTACCCACCTTCTCCCGGACCCGACCCTACCCGTTTTGTCCAGAGCCCAGATTACGATTTTAGCAACCCCTATAGCTCGTCTTCCAGCAGCAGCGATTGTGGTGGGTACTTGATCGACATAGTCAATTCGGGTCGGGTCAGCCCGTTTATTGGATTTGATTTGGGTATTCATGATATTGTTGGCGAGCCTGTAAAAGAATCCGATTTTCGAGCTAAGAGAAATCGGCACAATGTCGATAATGAACCGGAATTGGAAAACGATGAAAGAAGCAGCAAAATACGATCCCCGGGCACAGATATCGACAAGCTCACGGGCGAATTCGACTCGATGCTGCTCAACTCCATGGGCGAAGGTCAAGAGAAATATAGTGCTTACCGTGAGGAGTTAAAAAATGCTCTAAAGAAGGATAAGCCACAACCGAGCCGAAAGGCCAAGAAGCAGAGCAAGAAAAAGGAAGTGATCGACTTGCAGGCACTTCTCATCAGCTGCGCGCACGCCATCGCAGTCGATGAAAACCGCACCGCAAACGAGCTTCTGAAAAAGATCCGGGAGCACTCGTCGCCAGGTGGCGACGCCAGCCAGAGGCTGGCCCACTATTTCGCGGATGCCCTCGAGGCCCGTTTGGCCGGCGGGCGAAGCCCGATTTACAAATTGATCGCCGCTCGAAAAACAAAGGCCTCCGATTACCTTCGGGCCTACTACACGTCTCTTGCGTCGGCCCCGTTTAAAAAAATCTCGAATTTCGCATCGATTTGTACGATAATCAACGAGTCCCGAAAGGCCCACAAAGTCCACGTCATCGATTTCGGTATATTGTGCGGATTCCAATGGCCTACCTTCATCCAGCGCCTCGCGAAGCGGGAGAACGGGCCCCCGATGGTTAAGATCACGGGCATCGATTTCCCTCAACCGGGCTTCAGGCCCGCGGAGCAGGTCGAGGATACGGGCCGGATGCTGGCCCGTTACGCGGAGAAATTCGGTGTCCCGTTTGAGTACAATGCGATTGCTCGGAAATGGGAGGACATTCGGCCCGAAGATCTGAAAATCGAGAAGGACGAGTATTTGGCCGTGACATGCATGTACCGAGGCAAAAACTTGCCGGACGAGTCAGTCATGGCAGAGAGCTGCCCACGGACTAAGGTTCTCGATTTAATCCGGAAAATAAAACCGGACATTTTTATCCATGGTGTGGTGAACGGGACTTACGGGGCCCCGTTTTTCTTGACCCGGTTTCGTGAGGTTCTTTACCATTTTTCGGCTCTGTTCGACATGTTGGAAGCCTGCGTGCCTCGTGAAATTACCGAAAGGACCCTCATTGAAAAAGAGATGTTTGGGAAGGAGGCTTTCAATGTGGTGGCTTGCGAGGGTTGGGAGAGGGTGGAGAGGCCCGAGACGTATAAGCAGTGGCAGGTTCGTAATATGAGGGCCGGGTTTGAACAGGTGGCGTTCGACCGGGAGATTCGGGACGCGATGGAGAAGGTGAAGATGTTCTTCCACAAGGATTTTCTGATCGACGAGCAGAGTAAGTGGGTTTTGCTCGGGTGGAGAGGGAGGATAGTTAACGCGATTTCGTGCTGGAAACCCGTCTGAGGAGAAAGTAAGGAAGAAGTTCTGAGTTTTGCTGCTTTCTGCAGAAAACTTAATCAGCTGTAGATCTGTTTTTTGAGGTGTATTACAGAGGAATTGGTTTTAGTAGTTTGTATTGATCATTCAGATTTCTGATAGTTTGTTGATGATGTGCTTAGGCAAATTGGTATAAAAAATCTCTTCTTTCATTGTTTCTCTTTAGACACTTGAAGATTTTTGTCCAAAATCACTTCTTTTTTTTTTTTTCCGATGAACTTTGGAATCATGAGGAACATTCTTTAGGTAAAAGCTGATGACGAAATATTGGAGTAAAAGTGGAACCTTTATTGTTTATAAAGAAGAGCAGTGAGCAAATGGTTCACTCAAATGCCACGAAGAAACGATGTTGCAGACCACATTAGCTACCGCCATCGACTAAGAGCATCTCCAATGGTTGTTATCTATATCGCAATAAATAGACGGCCTTCTGTCCACGTGTACAGAATAGAATGGCATGTTAATAAATATGTCTCCAATGATAAATGTGTATATACGATTATTTTTTGTTGTTACTATAAAGCTGATCATAATTTCACCAGTATTTTTTTTTCGAATAAGTATTTTACTTATCATAATTTCACCAATATTTTTTTTTTTCAAATAGCTTTTGTGAATTAGCTGCCACCCAATATTCTTCAAGTTTTTTTAAGTATTTTTTAAGAGTAAATAAAACATGTTAACACTATAATTTTTTTTTCTTTTTCTCTTTTATGTGCTATATTATGCATGTTTATGTATAATTTTAACAAACTATATACCATTAAATTTATAATATAAATTTAGAAGTGTATCAATTTTTTTTTTTTTTTTTTTCTTTATGTAAATTAATTTGTCTTCTGATATACAAACTATAATTAAAAGAAAAGAAATAAGTCTAGACGTCTATATATTTTGCGTCTCTCTCATGTCACATAATCAGATGTAGAAGAAAAAAAACTCACCGCTGGATGTTTTCTATCCTAATGCTTCTACAATTCTACAATTGACATACCATTGGAGATGCTCTAAAGAGTAAAAGCAAAGTATCCCTTTTCCGTAACTTAAGACTCCTTTTACCCATTGTTTAGGGTTTTTTTAATGCTCAAGTTAAAAGGAAATGACTTTTATGTCTCTATGTTAGAACATCTATATAAGCAACAACTATACATACAAAATTCATAAATTTTGGTATTTGGTAAGCCTAATAGTTAAGTAGGTAGACTCGATATTTTTATTTTTAATTAAAATGAACTAGTACAATAATCGTGTACTACAGGACTATTTGTTAAGAAAATTATATTTAAAATTAAATAATAATAACAAAAATTATTTTAGTTTCTAAATACTTTATTAAAAGTATATTTTTACTTATATTTAAATTGATACCGTCACTTACACAACTCACCATATTATTTTATATAATTGTTTAATTTATATCAGGTAACTACTTTGTTGTTCAGTTAGTTTAAATAATTATATTTTTTCAAATTAATATTAATAGGTAATTTAAAAACTCATTTAAAACTACTTTATTCAATATAGATATATACTCTATTATATTTTATGAAATAAATTTATACTGATTAAAGAATGATATAAAATGTATTTTGAATGATATAAAATATGAAAGTAATACATGTATGAATTAGTTAAAAACTCATTTTAAATTACATAATACCAAATTTACGGAATTATCTTAGGATATACTCCCATAATAATATAATAGAGTTAATACACAAATTTATGGGAGGCACTACATTTATGGTAATGAAATAGATATTTATAGGATGCAATAATGTAAGATGAAATAATAACTTATAGTTGATTCCAAGCTGATTATGTTTCCAAATTTTTTATCCAAACATTAATACGAAGCATAATAACTTGATACGTATAATTCCAAAGCGTGCGAGCCTCCCATTTAAGCTTTGCACGTTTTGAATTAATATATAAGGGTATATTTATACCATATAATAACATGTTTTTTATTTATATTATTTTTAGAGTGTGACGTTATAATTTAAAATTATGCTTATATATTAAAAAGGTACGAAGTTCGAAGTCCTAACTGGTCTCCCTTAAACTTTTATTGTACATAATTATTTACCGAAACCAGCATTCATTTTTAGGTTTAAAAAACTTTGAGGAATACCAAAGTACTTTTTTTGCTCCAAAATGAAATAAAACACTTCCTTCAAAGTGAAACAATTAAGTTTAGGAAGTTTGCAGTAATCGTCCTATTTGACTTGGGCTATGATGGTCCAATTCTGTATTGGGCCTCCGCCAAATGAAGCAGGCCATAGAATTGGAAGTTTCGAGAAAAATATTGAATAAATGACGCTATTGGATTTCACATTATATTTCTCATTTAATCATGAACATTATCAGTACCAAGTCCACATCGACAAGCGCAAATCTAAGCATGACATCATTTTTCCTCACACGTAAGTTATTCTATTAGGTTAGTCTAATTACTAGACAAATTATTTTAAAAAAAATATATTTTAATCAAAAGTATTAAATTTAAAAAAAATTAACATACAAATTAGTTATTATAGTAGAATTTATATTCTTGTTCAAAAGATACTAGTACGACACCCGTGTACTACACGAATTATTTGAAAAAAAATATATAAAACATAAAATAATAAAAAAAACACATGAACTATTTCAATGTATTTGTATAGATATTCTAAAAAGATTTAAATAATTTATTTACCATGGTGTTAATCAAAATTTATTTTATTTTTATTTCAAATATTTAAAACATATTAGAAAGATCATGTAATATTCTATAACTATTTCAATGTATTTTTATAGATATTATAAAAATATTAAATAATTATTTACCATGATTGGATTGAAAAGATATAATATGCAAGTGGCTATAATTTTTTTGTAAAATTATAGTATTTTTTAATTTAAACTATATAAGAAAGTTATTGTTTACATTAATTATATAAATAAAATAATATGTAAAGCTAAATTTTTTATTTTGGTTTACACGACATATAAGATAAGAATCCTAATATGCAAGTGGCTATATATTTTTTTGTAAAATTATAGTATTTTTTTTAATTTAAACTATATAAAAAGGTTATTAAAGCTATTTTTTTTATTTTGGTTTACACGATATATAAGATAAGAATCATAAGATGTAAATAAGATAAGAATATTATTGATTTTGGAGTTTGAGGATTTACACGGTATATAAGAAATTAAGTATTTTATTTTAAACAATTAGGGAATGTATCCGAACCAAAAGCCGAAGCATGTAATGTTACCAAATAAGCTTCCGAAGCGTGCGAGGCAGCCATTTAGGCTCAGCACGTTTTTAAATTATATTAAGAGGGGATGTCTGGTTGCATTGTGCAATGAATGGATCTGACTCATAAAAAAATTGTATTTCTCAAATAATCTTAATAGACTCCCACAAATTCATTATACTTTGAGCCATTTTGTGGAAGTAACATNAAAAAAAGACATAGTGGGAAAATGAGAAAAATGGAACTAGTGAGTAACATAATATATCTCATGAAAATGGAAATTAATAATAACATAATAAGACAAAGTCCCACGGACATTTTTTAAATTAGTAAAATATAATATAACGTTATACAAAATTAAATTGAATTATATATGCTCCTGATCTGGACCAGGTCAAGGCGTAGCATTAGCATAATTTTTTCAAAGTTTTCAAATGTTGGCCTTATCGGTTACATTGACCACATACATTGTGCATAATATTTATATTTTCAGAGGTTGTCACTGCTCAAAATATATAATTGGTGGACTTTCTAGAAGGGATCATATTAAAATTGACCTATTTATTTTATTATTACTAGGGTTACACACTGTTCAACTGCACCACAATATCAAGTAGAGATCATAAAATTCACATTGGAAGTTATGAATTAAAAAAAATTAATCAACAAACAAGAAATATGTGAATTAATAAAGCATATTTTAGTGTTCTTTTATAGGTATTTGGAATTTTGTGTTGTATACAATCCTCACAATTACTATTGAACAATTTAAACACAAAATGTCATTAGTGTTCGCATAACAACTAAATATATTTGCCTATTTGACACTAGATGATTCTAGACGACAACTGGTTGAATTTAACAATTTTGACTACCTGATTGAATTGACAGATATGCAAAAATATTTGTCAAATAATCATCTATTCATGCGTCAAAATCACTAAATTATAATTATCTATTCCAAAAAAGC